ACAGAATTTGGTTTGTTTTGTCACGACAGAAACTGGAAGACAAGCATATCCAAAAAAGCTCTCCCCCGAACCTTCCAAAATAAAGAAACAAAAAAGCAAGCTTCTATCCATGTTTTCGGCTAGTGGCATGAAGGACTAATTTCATTGTGCTCAACTTTGATACAGGATGTTGCAGGAAGCAGATTGGAGGGATCAGCAGATCAACCAAAGCATATTCCAATCAAATAAGAATCGGATTGCCTATCCAGGTATTGGTAAATCCTTAACCATTTTTAACACTGTACCAAAAGTGTAACGGAATAACTCTTTTTTTTCCATGCAATGCTGGTCTAATTCAGCAATTACATACCATAAGGCAAATTTATGCTCTACGGACATTAGAAAGAGTGGTAGTGCAAAAAAAAAAAAGTGCCATAGTTTAGACAAGATAAATAATCCAGAGGAAATATAAAGAGATGAGATGAAACTTAGAAACTCTATGATCCTTTTCAGCAATAATTTGACCAATGTTGTTATGCATCAACTAGTTTCCACTATCTGGTAAAGCAGCTACATTTGAACTCATTGAAAGCAAACGGGAGATGTTAAGCGGGCAGCATCCCCTAATACACTTATATCCTCACGAAAACTAGAAACTACAACAACCCCACCCCTGCCATCTCCCCTGTAACTCCTAAAAAATGGTTCCACCAGTATTTTCGTAGAATAATTAAATCAAAATTACAACAAGAATAACAAAAGAAAGTGCATTTGCCAGCAAGGCTGTAAAGGCGATTGAGATTAAAATTGAAGCAAATGGCCAAGCTATGGTGAAAATCGAAGTCTTGGTTACTCATCAAAACATTTTCTAAGGTTATAGCACCAAATTTTCTGGGCAGAAAAAACTCAGAATTTCCAAAATAACTCATATTCTTACCGAAAATATAAAAATCCACAATTTGCTTGTCTCTGTTTCACAGAAAACATATAGAATTAAGCAACATACAGCTCAATAGAAAGATGATAACTTAGTGGAAAACTATAAACAATCCAAACAAATTAAAAAGAAAAAAAAGAAGAAGAAAAGAAAAGAGCATATATACTATCAAAGCAGATGCCCTACCCGTACATCTAGGAATCTAAATCAGTATGATAAACATGCATGCATGTGCTATTTAACTAAAAGTAACAATAGTGAAAGGGGAGTCTACCGCAGATCTTGATTGGTGCTTCAAGCTCCAAGAGATTAGGCTGTTGAAGGAAGATTTCCCGGGAAGCGTTGCAGAGCGACCGGATCTCCGCCTCGGAGAGCTGGACTTGGCGCAACGTCCGCGCGTGCCGGAACTCCAACAACCGGTTGATTATGTCATCAAGTACCGCAGGCTCAATTCCCTGCCCATTCGCGGCGGCCATCCCTACAAATATCGGTTCTCTAACTACTCCTCTCTCTCCAATTTACAGCCAACCTAACCAAACTTAGGGTTTCCAACAAATCTTCCCTACAGAAAAGAAGATATGGAATGAAATAAAACTAAAAACATGAAAAGATTTAGTCAAATTTTCTGTCTCTCTTAAGCTCTCTCTCTCTCTCTCTCTATCAATGACGAAAACGAGAGAGATAGATAAAGATTAAAAAGATTATAATTGGTGGAATTTAGGGTAAAGGAAAGGGAAGGGAATAGAGGGCGCGTGAGGTTCGGTTGGGGGGATGGGGGCTGCAACTCCGATGCGGCGGAGAGGACTTTTCTTTTTCTTTTTTTTGAAAGATAGGATAGTGCTTAAATTAATAGGAAAAAGAAAATGCGTAATAAGAAGAGGTTGTGGTCGGAGTCGAGAATTCCGCTGCCCTCGTGTGGTTGTATCCTCCGATGATTAATCACACACTTACGTGGCGTTGCCAGTTGGGGAATGCTCATCAGTGATTTCATTTGTGCACACACACCCCCCGCTCCCTTTTCCCACCCCCACCCCCCCCCCTCCAAAAAAAAAAACCACGACCCACATACTCTATCTTTTTTTTTTTTTTTAAACAACTTGCAATGAAAATAAAAGGCCCTTTTGATTTCTGGCTCTGGTGCTCCCTGGTTTTTGATTTAAAGGGCTTAAAGCCATAGCCTAAAGGGTGTGGGGTTGAGATTCATGGTTTAGATATGTTCTCGTACTAACTCAATTGTTAGGGACCCAGATATTCTTTTAAGAGGAAGTTATTGGTAGAGTATAAGGGACAAAGGAAAGGAGTTGATGTTTAATTGCTAGATCGCAAACTTTCCTAAATTGTTGATCTTACTTCTCAAATGTAGGGTAATGATTAATGAGCTATTCTTAGCCTCCTTGGGATTATTTTGGTTTGGACTTGACACTGATCGTGATGCGATGTGATGTGGTGGTGAAATTATGCAAATATTCATGTTTTTTTGTTTGTCACTTGTGATCATCTACGTCTACTCCTAATCCTAATTTAACCTGTACTAGAGGGTGACCTAACAGAGTCACGAGAAATCTATAGGAACTAAATCACCATCGGACCATACGGATGCACAGCACTCCCATGAATCTTAAGCAAAGCCACATCGGACCATGTTGTTTCATTTTGTTATTCTAGGTTTGACTCACCCTTATCCTGTTTTGGATTGTTTTTTGGATTGTGATTTTCTGTTAAAGAAGTTTTACATTTTCTGCAAACACATTTTTCAATTATTTTTTTTATCTTATATACGTCAAATCAAATCGTTACAATATATTTTTCTAGAGCCGTCCTTGGACGATGAAAAATAGAGGAGTCATGAAATGTGAGCTTGATGATTGCCAAATTTAGTACGCATGGAAAGGTGGCAAGATCGGTATACGGGTCTCCTGTTATGCAGTAATGTGTAACATTATTATATATTACACTTGTTATTTTAATCACAATTGTCCTTCTTTAACTGATTGATTAGAAAACAAAAACAAAACAAAACAAAAATCAATCCTCTCTCTCGCAAGACGTTTGTCTTCCCTCACCGCTTCCAAAATCTTCTGATAGAGAAAGCTTCGACAAAACTTCCGTTTAGTGTGATACAGGGAAATAGATGAGTTGGGAAAAGAATAATATCATCATGCTTTTGGCTCTCTTCTTCCTTTGCAATATTATACCAAAGCATATTGTACCTGTTAGATGTTCGACAAAACATGTAATTCACAAAAGTTTGAAAAAGCAAAGACAACCTGCAACAGTTTAAGGGGCTGGTTGGTTAGCCGCAACTGATGCTAGAATCAAGACACATAAGGAAAAGTTTTCCAAGTGTCTATGTGAGGTAATTTGTGATTTGGAAGAAGAGAAATAATTCTTGAAAAGGATTTTGCTACCCGGGGGGGGGGGGGAAGGTGCTGTATTAGAAAGAGATGTTTTTATTAAACAACAATGATTCTTTAAGCTCTGTTTGGATTCAAGAGTTTTGTCCTCAAAATAAAGACTTTAGAGTGTAACAGAACAGCCATAACCGACCGGTAAGATCGGCATTTGGTCTATCAGATATACATACGTTAGAAGTGGAGTTGCACCTTTTGTGTGTTTACACAAACACGGCATACATTTCTCTAGAGTTGATTTTGTTTATGAAACAGTACCTTTGCATGGTTCCAAAGGGGCATTATTATCGTCTATATATACTCCACCCAGCCTAAGAAAGACTTACCTTTATTTGGTGATTTATGAGGGCAATCATGAAATGGATTTCACCATCTGAAAAAATAAACGGTGAAGATTTGTTTTGTTTGAGTTATTTATCGTACTTCATTTGAGTATTTTGGACAAGAATTTCAAAGCTTCCATAAGTTGGTATGTTATTGCAAACCGAACGCAAGGACTAAAACATTTCGGATGGTGAAGCTCGAAATACTTGCAACTTGCACCTTTATATCATATGTCTATCAAAAGTAACCATTACTTTGAGGTGAAAAGGTATGGCCTCTGTTGGTTCGACCATAAAATTTGGAATTCCTTATAATATCCGAATGTTTTTTGGCAGGACGAGAAAATTTTACATACCCGACTCAAGTTCAAGAACATACCCGAGGGGGTCTTAGGCCCTGTTCCGATTGTTAATTTTTGGGGGAAAAATATCAAGAACACATAACAAGAAATGCTGCTGTTCTCCTGTACAGGTATATTTTCCTTTATGTCTTTTTGAATTAAATAAAAACAGAAAAGGTCTAAAGCAAGTTTATTCTTTTCTATTGTCCTGAATGGAGGTTGATAGATTCTAGTCTACTCCTTTTTTTTTTTTTTTTTTTTTTTGGCCCCCTTCAATTTTAAGGTACAAATGAATATCGAGTTGTGAGTCTTGTGACTGTCTGCTGTGAATGACTGACGGTGGCTCCTCTCAAGTTGGGGTTGTCAAAAATCCCATTATAGAAAGTTCAGTCGTACGAGTAAAATGTCAAGGCATTCTTCCTCAAATTTCGCTTCTTCTTTCATCTGCAATTCCAAGGTAACCATTTTCTTGCAATCAATTTTAGCTTTTATCTGGTGCTTTCATTGCCTTGCAATCCAATTTCTTGGCTGATTTCTTTTTCGCTCAACATCACATGCTTTTTTGATATGATACCTGGAATGGGTTTTGGTTTCTCCGTCCTGATGGCTGCCTTCCGTTTTCTGGATCGTTTACGCTTTCCCATGCATGCACATCAATTTTCATTTAAGGGTTCTTGCTATTGAACTGCAGATATGTGAGTTGACATATGATTTTCGTGATTGTTGCTAAAAACAATTGTACATTGCCGTAGATGTCCCCATGCTTGAGTTCTTGATCCTGAATGACTGAATGGGGCTTGCAGAGGACATAAGCATGAAAGGATTAATTCCCATTTTTTGCCCAATCAATTGAATTAAATGGAAAAATAATTCATTCTTGTTAAAATCAGAAATTTCTTGTATTTCAAACCCGACAGATTATGGTTTCTGCATCATAACTTGGGACAGCTTATCCTATTAAGTTGACATCTTTATATAGAAATTTATTCACAACAAATGGAATCAAACGTTTCTATAATTCGTAAAATCGTTAACAAATTCTTGATGATTGACTTTACATTTTTGCTCTTCATTATTGATTTGGACCTCTCCTTCGTTACTGGAGCCTTAAGCTGAAATCATTACCTTTGGATGGTCATTTATAGAAGAATGCATTATCGTCTATATCTGCAATTTTTTATGAAAGCGTGGTTCTATCATGCAAGGCTGCAGAGAGCAGGATTAGAATACTTGGCTATAGTTTTTTTGTGTAGATAGATGTTTAATCACATTAAGTAGGACGGGAAGAAAGCTCATTCTTGCAAACTTTTTCATCTATTGAAACGGTATATTGTCTACAATTGCGTTTATTGCGGGTAACTGACATCTTATAAGTTGAAAAGGAAAAGCAAGATTTTGAATTATGACCCGAGACGTAGAAGTGTAACATGAAAATTCAGAATAAAAGGTGGCATGGAAAATGATGAAATGTTCATTCCAGTTGGAGTAAAAGGGAAATAACTGGTTATGAACATTTTGTATCATCTGATGAATGCTAGATGCTACCATGATAGCAACTCTTCCTTAGAATTGTTGAAGGCCTATATTAGATAGACACCTGGGTTTGCCTGTGTGGTTCTGATCGACTAATTTTGGTCCTCATGCTTCATACTTCACGCCTTTTCGCAGCCCAGCTCCAAAGGAATATTTGCTTGTAGAAAACTGTTCTATGACAACCTCTAGGATATGGGAGCCATCCCAGGAGGAGTACTCCTCGGGCAGGATCTTGAGTCTTGCTGGCTAGAGACCAAGAACAATAGCCACATCAGTCTCTTGGCCCTCCTGTAGACGATTTCTGGACCTCCTTACCAGAGATATCTCTCTTGTTATCCATCCAAACACCATCCTTGTTATTTTGCATCATTCCTTTTGTGCTTTAAAAGAAATCTGTTATGATTTTCTTCTCTGACGCCATATCTGACCAAATTGCCAATAGCCTGATACCATTCCTTTTCCAGCTCTACATACTGTCTTTTCCCTTCACAAGGTACATAAGAATTCTCTTTTGAAACTTACCTTACTATTGATAGTTGCTTTTTGCTCCTTACCGCTTACTCTGTGTTGCTTTTCTTTCTTTCTCTCATATTTCACCTCAATCACGCTTTAGCTCATGCATCCCCTTTCTATAAGTACATAATTAAGACATTAATCTGGTTATTTAAAGAAAAGATATCCATGCAATAGCTATATCGCTTGTGCCCTTAAATTGGTTCACTGCTAAGTATGTAGCTTTAAGGTGCATAAGCAAAGCTGTTGTTTTCTGGAGACAAATTAAACTAAGTCCTAAGTTTTCAATATATTTCCATAAACTTATCATTCCCTCCACTTGAGTAAACCAAAAATATAAATATAAAACTCTGCTTGAATCACTAACATGTTTGAAATTGGGTACTGTAGATATTCATAATCAGTTTCCTGTCTCGTGCAGCAACATATTTCTATGATAATGTAGCTATTTTACTTTAGATACTAACTTTTTTGTGGTGGCAAATGGTAAAAAGTGATGGAGCAAAAGGAGGATTCAGCTTCAAGAGAAAACGAGCAACTTAAAGCACAGATGCCACAAGTCTCAGAAGAAGCTAGTTACAACAATAATCAGCTTGAATTTTCTTGCAGTCATATTTGTTCATTCTCAAACCTGGAATACAGCATATCAGACTCTGCAGAACGATCAAAGTCAAGGGTGAAGCTTATAGGGCTCATAATCTTTTACTCAGTAGTCATGGTAGTAGAAATTGTTGGTGGCATGAAAGCCAATAGCCTTGCTGTCCTTACGGATGCAGCTCACATGCTCACTGACATTGCTGGATCTTCCATTTCTCTTTTTGCTGTATGGGTGGCAGGCTGGGCATCAACACCACGGCAGTCATTTGGATTCGGTCGTCTTGAAGTCATGGGAGTCCTCCTATCAGTACAGCTGATATGGCTTATCTGTGGGATTTTGATTTACGAAGCAGTTGACAGAATTCTCCACAAAAATGCTAAGGTGAATGGGAAACTCATGTTTTTGATTGCCTTATTTGGATTCTTGGTGAACTTGCTCATGATTTTCTGGCTTGGTCATGATCACACTCACCATAGTCATTCTCATGAATCTCATGAAACCTGCAACAGTGGAGAGCATGATCATGAAATGGAGGAATTAGATGTCATGGGCGTTGAAGACACCATAGGTCTGGTATCACCTTCCCCACTGAACGTAAAGATTTTAAACATAAACATACAAGGTGCTTACCTGCATGTTATGACTGATATCATCCAGAGTGTCGGGGTAATGATTTCTGGATTGATCGTATGGGTTAAACCAGAGTGGCTGGTGGTTGATCTGCTCTGCACTCTTGTCTTCTCCATTGCTGCACTTGCCACGACTCTGCCCATGCTGAAAAAGGTATTCTGTATATTGATGGAGAGAGCTCCGGATGAGATTGACATTGCACTCCTTGAAAATGGCTTGAAGAGCATAGAAGGACTTCATGATGTTCACGACCTGCATGTTTGGGCGATCACTTCTGGGAAGTTTGTGTTGGCCTGCCACATTGTGATTGGCCCTGGAGCAAGTCAAAATGAAATGCTTAGTAAAGTTAGGGATTACTGTGAGAGAAGTTTCAAAATTCATCACGTTACTATACAAATTGATCGTCAAGTACACTAAATGCAGCATTTCTCGCTTATTCAGTCCTCTCTCCAGTCTCCGTTTGTGACTTTGTTTCATATTGAAATACCTCGTCTGAAGAAAATGTCAATACGCAGAAAAACATGCACGACAATGCAGTCCAGGTGCTAGAGTGCCTATGTTTAGTCCTGAAGTTATCTCCATATGGGTGCTTTAATTAGGTCCATACCCTTATCTTTCTTGAGCGAATGCACAGATGCATAGCATAATTAGCATTACTGCAGTTCCATGGCTGCATGAATGCGCATTGAATCACACATACCCCAACGCGTTAACAAGAAGTCCAGTTTCTTCTCCTTTTAGAATCCAACCCAAACAAGAGAAATAAGGACAAAGGAATTCTTTTCTTCCACAAGGCCGTCAAAATCAAGAATAAGATGATCATCAATATTTGCTGTTAAGATCTAGTAGGTTTTTTTTTTTTTTTTGGGTTAATAATTATACTTTGCCTTCCGAACTTAGCACTCTACCTCTGAAATTTCAAATATATACACCTTACCCTCTTCATTGACTAGTCAAACATTAATGATGAATTTTTCATCCAAAATTTTGACAAAATAGCCCATATATTATAGTTACTTTTAATTGGAATATGGAATGTCTTATTAGAAAAAACATGAACTCACATGATATGAAAAATTAAACGATGGTATAATACCAAAGAATTGAAAATTTGCATTGTAGAGTAAAAAGAATTTAAAATTTCTAAAACTTCTACACTAATTTTTCATCACTTATCTTTCTTCTTTTAAATTGTAAACGGATTGATTTTGATAATTCTTGTTTACCTTGTAGCTGTCAAAAGATTCTCAGAAGTCAATAAGATGTTATTTGATATTTTTATACCGTAATCATACCTTGGTTTGTATTTTGTTTGAATTTTACATTTTTTCCAAAAAAAAAAACTTGACATTCTCTAAATAATTTTTTCAATACATTGTTATTTTTTAAAATCACTTTCTTATCTCGTATAAAATGTATTAAAAAAGTGCTACACTAAGAAAAAAAATATTATTAAATAATCTTCATTTCAAATACATTAATTAATTTTATTTCATATAAAATAAGTATTGCTATCAACATTGAGATAAATACATTCAATTGTTTAGACTTCTTTTTTTGCAGATTATCTAATTTATTTTATTGCTAAAATATCAAAATGCACGGTATAATTGTTTTTAAATAGATTTAGCAACTATTAAAGACATAGATATTTATTATGTCACAATTATTATGTGTGTTTAGGAATTAGTTGGAGATATTTTGGTCATGCAAAGTATAACTTCATCTTGACCCCATTAAAAAGCTGACCACAAAGAGTAAAGTGTATATATATTTGGAGTTTAGGGCAGCAAAATGTTACTAGTGACAAAATTTAGGGGGGCAAAGTGCAATTAATGTTCTTCGTTCGTAACTTCATTGTCAGTGTCAACCTCTCGACAAGCACTGCGTTGCGCTAAGATTCCCAGTCTCGGTCAACAACAACTTGTGAAAGTCGAACCATCATTCAAGAGTTTGACCAATATACAATCTGCTGATTTATTAATCCTTGATGCACAGCCACATTTGACGGAGGGTTGAGCTGAGTCAACAAGCCTAAAGAAAATGAAGAAGAATGCGAGATGAATTCTTCTTAGTGATCGACCCCTTCCGCGTTTAGACGAGAGTCACAAGACAATTACCAGTAACAACGCGCTAATGAACGCCTTCATCGTTTATTACTTTGGAAGAGTAGGTGAGGCGGCAGAGATTATTTATTAATATTACAAGGAAAACGCTTCTAGAGCCTAGTCGCAGGGCGACCACTAGAGAAGCATAGCATTTGATTCAGATGATCTTTACCAACATAATATATTTTGTTATTAATGATTGCGAATTGTTTAGGATCGGATTAGGTAAGTCTAATGACGTCAATACACGCTGCTCAACTGTGTGTTTCGTGAATATAGCTTTGATGCCCAGTAACTGTAAGAAATGAGAATTGATTCCTTATTATCATCTAGGAGTATAAATTTAGTCACAGCACATCCTTAAATTAAGAGAACGTATGCTTGGCAAATTCATTCCAGAAATTAAGAGAAGGCAAATAGACAAAAATATATTTATTACAAGTAAGAGAGAAAGCAAAGAAGTTAATCTACAGGAAAAATGCTACACATACATGACCACCTCATGTGTTTAATTTGCCTCAGCCACATATCACCCGTATCAGTCATTCCATAACACAAGAACTACAATAATATTTCATGTGAATGAGCACCTAAATGACTAAACTCTTTTTAACATCAGTCGTAAGCTCTTTTTTGCTGTCACAATGAAGTAAGAAGTACTCTACAAGCCGTTTTCTGCCCAAAGAATGGGAGAATAAAGGGGAAAAAAAGAATGAAAAAGAAGCGGGGAAGAAAAGTTGTGTGTGCTAGCAAATTTCTTTCCGTTCCTGAAAATAGGATGCTCAGGTAGAACAACAACCCCTCTTTGTGTTTCCAGACGAATCATTAACATTGATGGTGGTACCCTGACCGGGAGTCACGGTGGAGGCAGCCGCTTCCTGGGCAGCCAATGCTTTCTTGCTTATAATGTGATATATTTCTGACAGAATAGTCTGGAAAGCCTTGTCCACGTTATATGCTTCCAGCGCTGACGTCTCAAGAAAAGAGAGTCCTTCCTTCTCAGCCAAAGTTTGGCCATCGTTCTCTTGAACAGCTCTGACATGGTTAAGGTCGGACTTGTTTCCAGCCATCATGATGACAATGTTAGAATCAGCATGATCCCTCAATTCCCGAAGCCACCTTTGGACATTATCAAAAGTTTGCCTCTTGGTTATGTCGTACACAAGGAGTGCACCCACAGCTCCTCTGTAGTATGCACTAGTAATAGCCCTATACCTTTCCTGTCCTGCAGTGTCCCATATTTGCGCCTTGACTGTCTTTCCCTCTATCTGTAGCACCAAATTTTCAGAAGATCACCAGGTTAGTGTGTTCCCATAACTCACAAAGTACCCAAATTCTCAGCCTTTCCCCAATACACTAGCCAGCCAAGAAAAGCATTTTAACAATCAAACTCAGTTTCCTAACAATGGAAACACCATAAAAGGTAGTACTAGATTGTTTTGCCAAACCTATAGGAAACTAGTAGTCTGTAGAAGCTACGAAATAGATATCCGTAAATTACAATTTTGACAAATGAAAGCCTAAGTTTCAGGGGCGACCATCCATGCTATGGGTGCGCATGCAGAACAAACCAAACTTCACACGAACATCATCCAACATGCTCAATGACCAAATTAAGATTACAAATAATAGCATGCCACATATACCATCCAATCTATCTAACATGGCGGAAGAATTACATCATTCATCACGAAATCTCAGAAACTCTTTTCTAAACTTGCAAAAGACACATCTATTAAGTAGATAATAAGGTCGGATGATAACATGTTTAACTTTCTCCTAGCATGTCACAAGTCAGCGAACTCCATTTAGCTCCTCACATAGAGAGTGAAAAGATATCCTCCACATCAATTTGTATGATACTCTGTTAATCCGAAATGTAAACAAAATGAGCTTCACAAGGGGGACAAAATTACTGTCCCGAAACATACTAATACCTCAAGAAACCATCCAAAACTGACTGGAGTGACTTGTGCTTAAAAACGCATCCTTCTTTCTTAAGACCTCGTTGCGCCACAATAAGCACTAATCCAACATTTAAAGATAATCAAATTACTAATCTCGACATTTTTATATGTTTTTTTTTATTTGGTCAAAAATTCGCAGTCATGTAAATCGTGCATAAAACTACAGTTAGACGAAAAAAAAAGAGAGAGAGAACGAGAGAGAAGATGATACAAAATTGCAAGAAAAAGAAATCCATCCAAACTAATATATGCAAATCATGAGAATTATGCAACCTATACCAAAAAAAAAAAAAACAAAAGACAAACTTTGAAGAAATCGAGATGGAGTGATTATGGAATATTACAGAGGAAAAACAAGGAGGAGTAACCTGAAGAGTACGGGTTGCAAACTCAACTCCGATGGTAGATTTAGACTCCAAACAGAACTCATTTCGAGTAAACCTAGATAGAATGTTAGATTTTCCGACTCCGGAGTCCCCGATCAAAACGATCTTGAATAAATAATCGTACTCGTGATCCACTCTATTGGCCATCTCTCCCTCTCTATCTCACACTTTTTGATGACTATACCCAACCGGAACGATAAGCCGATGATCCCTTTCTCTTTTAATCCTGCAATACAGATCCACAACAACTCAGATCTAATGCAAAAAACCGTAATCTCAATACGACAATATACGCAGATATGCACGCGTAGATTAAAAAAAAAAGTACGCAGAGCTTACCGTACAGGGGGCAGCGGAAATGATGATGAGAATTGAGAAGAGAGGAAAATGGGGGAAAGTATGGAGAAAGAAAGAAAAATAATGCTGGGGGAGGGGCGAGTTTGAAACGGCCAAATATTTGGAATGTGCTTGGTTTTGGAGGGGGTGTCCCTCATGTGGGGAAAATGTTGCAAATTAGTACTCAGTAGGTAGCAAGCGTGTAATGGGAGAATCTTTTCTTTTTTGCTTTTTTTTTTTTGGGATTAAAAAAATTAAAATAAGGTAAAATTCCTGTTCTTATAATTTTGTTTATGTGGACGGGGAGTGGCGTCGTTTCGGTGAGGCAGTTGACAAAATTTAGCTAATGAGCTGACTGCTGAGAAGGATGTGGGTTGGGTTGGCCGTTCTGTAGCAGAGTGGCAGATGGCAGGGATGTGCCTGCATGCCTGCCAGGGTGGATATCCTAAATCCCATAAGGGGAATGTTAGTGGATTTCCATGTTCTGCCACCAGTGAGCAGTGACTGGTTGTACAAATTACTATTATACTAGGCAATGTGCTCTGCGAGTTTCGCGGGTACCCATTATTGACTGTTTATGAGTAATGTAGAATTTATTTAATAATTAATATTTAAAGTGTTTTATATGATAGTAGGGTTGCAATAAT